TTTGTATATAAAAATCTTAAAGAAAGCATATATTGTGGTACGTGTGTCTGCTAAAACAGTGATATCTTATTCCCTACGACACTGCAAAGACGGTGTATTAAGTTTTTATAAGAGTAAACATAACGAAAGTTCCAATCGCCTCACTAAACGGGAAACACAACGTTAATTAATTGGACCTGAGCCATTATGTATTTTGATAAGGTGGCATATAATGGATATCTTATGTACTACGACACTGCAATGATGGTGTATTAAGATTTTATACGAGTAATGCTAAAGAATGATTCGATCGTCTCGTTAATTAATTGGACCTGTCAACGTTAATTAATTGGACCTGAGCGATTTTGTATATTGACAAGGTGGCATACAGTCGAAAAACTCAGCTTTTGAAGGGAATCTGAATTTAAAATTATTGTAGAAAAATTTTTTAATGCATAAAATCGAAATTAGAAAAATAGAAATTTCGAAAAATCGAAAAATCGAAATTAGAAAGAGTGGAAAAACGAATTTATATATAAGTGAGAATGGATTTGCCAGCCACTGGAGCAATTACAGACCTATTAATAAAATAGCATAGTCTATACGTTAAATTCCACCCTCAAATTAACACATGACTCAATAAATCGTTTGACTAACTAATAAAAACAAATTTTTTCTGCCAAAAATCGATTTTACTCATTAATATAATCTCCTTCAAGGGCAATACAATCATTCCAACGTTTCTCTAACTTCTCGATGCCGTGCTTGTAAAAGGATTTGCCTTTAACCTCAAAATAGGCTTCAGTTTCAGAAATTACTTCTACATTTGAGATGAATTTCTTATCGGCGAGCATTTTTTTGAGATGACCGAATAGCCAGTAGCCGCTGGGGGCCAGATCTGGACTATACGGTAAATGAGGAAGCAATTCGAAGTGTAATTCGTGAAATTTTGCCATCGTTTTTATTGACTTGGGACATGGTGCATTATACCATGTGCATCCCAAAATAAAGAAACCATAACCTTCTCAGCTGACTGTTGTGCCTTTGGACGCTTCGGATGTGGTTCACCGGCTGCAGTCCACTCAGATGATGATCGTTTTGATTTCGGAGTGAAGTGATGTATCCATGTATCATCCATTGTCACATATTGACGCAAAAAATTTGATTCATTAAGTGTAAACATGGCCAATCACTGCTCTAAATCATCCACACGTTGTTGTTTTTGATCGACTGTGAGTAAACGCGCACCCACTTTGAAAAGAGCTTTCTCATGTTCAAATGTTCATGCATAATTGTAAACACACTGCGTTCTTATATTTTACGTTCTCGGCTATCTAAAGCAATTTTAATTAACGATCAGATACAACCAATTTCTGGACTTTTTTGATGTTTTCTGGAGTGACCACCTCAATTGGACGACCAGAACGTTTACCATCATCGGTGTCTGTACGACCACGTTTAAATTCAACAAACCAATAACAAATGGTTTTTTTCGTAGGAGCAGAGTCCGGATAACACTTTTTTTTCATCAAGAAGCAATAATAAATTAACACACGAAATTGTTTTGAATCCATTGTTTAGAAAATAACAAAAGTAGCTTCACTTAAACGGCAGTCACTTTTTCTGACTAATCGATATGTCATGAAATTTTACACATAGTCTTTTGAAGGTTGGCACTTGTACTTCATAAACGTCATATGGATTTGACAATGGCAACGCCATCTGTGTGTCAGTCGTACGACTTATTGAGTAATATAATAATAATTTAAAACATTTAACAAATATAAAATGAATGCCATAATAAGTGTGCGGGAAGGGTATTTAAACTTCCATACAGTCATTTTTTTTTATAATTTTGTTGGAGTATTGCATCTAGTTTATATTTACAAATAAGACACAAAATTCAACATTTGTGTAATTCATTTAGAAAGATGATATTCATACATTAGATGTCTTTCTACAACTATGGCGTGAACAATTTCTGAATTATTTAAATAAATCAACAAATTTGTATGAAATTGAATAAAGATATAGAAAAATACATTTGCGTAACATCGAGATAAGTGACGGAATGTTAGTTGTGCAATGCGACGGAAAGTTGTTAGCACTGTCATTAGAATTAAATTATGGAATTTACATTAAGACCGAAAAGTTTTCGGAAATTCTCATTTAAAATTCGCGCGCTGTATATTTTTCGATATTTTAAGTTTATGTAGTTTGGCAGCAATTAAGGACAATTACTATGCAAAAATGAGCGCGATCTGTCAGACAGTTCGTTTACGGCAGCTGTTGAAACCAGTTCACCTCAGTAGTGCGTTGCGAAAAAAACAATGGAAAAAAATATTGGACAAAGAGTTTGCATCAAATTTTGTGTTTCGAACGAAATTTCGTGTGCAGAATCGTTGCGAATGCTACAAAAGGCTTATGGGGAATCAGTTTTATCGAAAACTCAAGTTTATGAGTGGTACAAAGCCTTTCAGGACGGTCGTACGACCGTCGAAGACATTTCGCAACGCACTACTGAGGGGAACTGGTTTCAACAGCTGCCGTAAACGAACTGTCTGACAGATCGCGCTCATTTTTGGCATAGTAATTAAGGACAGTGCTGCCAAACTACATAAACTTAAAATATCGAAAAATATACAGCGCGCGAATTTTAAATGAGAATTTCCGAAAACTTTTCAGTCTTAATGTATATGAATATTTACAAATTTTAGATGCTAACGGAAATGAAATATTTAATACGATTAGTCTAATGTCTTCACTATAATTCAGATATCACTTTTGATTTTTGCATATTAATTTTATTTCATAAAATTAATTATGCGAAATCATACGAAAAATCCAAAAACATTTAAAGCAGAACTAACGATAAAAATAGATAAAAGATATACCTAAGATGAAAGATATAATTTCTGTGTTTGTCGATCAACATATGAAGTATCTATTAAAGAAAACCCGTAAATCAGAATTTAAATAACACAATTTTTTAGTTTTTTAGTTTTTTAGTTAAATTGTCATTAAATAACATATACTGTGTAAAAAAATATTTATATATGTAAACAACAGAGGAGGAAAAACTGCGTATGTACATATGCAAATATGTAGTTCCGTAGAACTACTAAAATATTTGCTCCTATAGCAGTGTAAATTTTTAAAAAGGCTGCACTTCCGCCTTTGACCGGAAATTGCTGTTGTAATACTTGCAAATATAAAATTTGAATAAACAGAATACAACAAGCAACAAACAACAAACAACAAAATCAATGGACTGTTGCATGCAACAAACGCTTTTGGTTTGGTTTTTCTATTTTGCAATTTGCTAAAACTTATTGGATGCACGTTTTTAATATTGCACGTATGTGCGAGTATATCTATATCTATATCTATATATATCTGTACTCGTATGTGTGTAAATGTTCTTATATCTAAAGTCTGTGTTCTATTGCTTCAACCACGAAAAGGCAAATAAAAAATTACGAATTGATTTTGTGTCAATTTCATGAATTTCAATTTTCTACACACAACTTCAGTGCAGGCAGACAGCCAGGCAGGCAGGCAGGCGGACACACAGATCTACAGGCATTCATACTTATGCAGCATTACAGTTCTGTACTAAGTCCTCATATATTTTATGTAGTTTATGTTATATTTTATGTTTATATCTGTTGTACATTTATTGCAATCATTCGCTTACAATATTTCATATCAATTTTTTTTATGTTGCCAATATTTTCGTCCTTTTTTTATGACTCTTTCATGATTTTTATACTCCTCGCCTGCTTGCCGGCTTGCCTGCCCGCTAGCTTGCCACTTCCGGTATGGCATATGTTGTTGACCAAATTGCAAAAGCAGCTATAGCAAATTTTTGTGGTACGACAATATTGCCAGTTTGTATCGAAAAAATTGTGTTACAATATTTTTAGATGTATGTACATTTGTATATGTATATTATTGTTCTCTTATTGTTAAGATCAGGCTTAAAACTTTTATATAAAGTTTTTAAATACGTCAATGTATTATCTTGCTCCACTAGAAAATTATTAGTAATATTAGTAAATGTACCTATTATCTTGCTCCACTAGTAAATTATTAGTAATATTAGTAAATATTGCTAAAGACTAAAGCATTTATTCAAAATCAATAATCTTAACCACGTTACGCAGTGACACATGTATTCGCCCGTGATCGTATCTGGTCTGGACAGTCTCGATCTTAACAAAGAACAAGTTGAATAATATTTGCGCTATTCAACAGCACTTAAATATATACCCAAAACAGTTAATAATAGAGCACACAATTATATTGGCGTTTTAATCATGTCACCAATTGAGTTGCATCATTATACCTAATAATAGATAACTCATTTTTGCGCGATCGAATTTCGTATTGGATTTCATGTACGAGTATCAGCTAAAAGTAGATTACGTGATTTTCATTTCAATTTTATTAATGACACACTGATTGATACTAGAGGCAATCTCAGACTAATAGCTAAGCAGAGCTAGATATTTAAATAACATTTACAAGAAGATAGTACATCATTCGTTTATATTTTATTGGTAAGAGGATGACTGCGGATAGATCGTTGCGATTTTAGATGATGATATTATTCTCCGAGACCGTGATGCTATTTCTTCTTATTCGCTTGAAAGCAAGATACGCATAAATAAAGTGTGTGCTCTTATATCAATTATTGCCTATGCTCTACACATTCACTGCAAGTGTGTCTTACAGTAGTTTCCATTTCAAAAGGGATTGAATTATTCATCACAAGCTCTTATACTATATTGTGGAAAAACGTTGAAGACGAAATAATTTCAATAAAATTTATCAAATTGTATTTTAATGATAGCTGTTATTGTTGTGTGATCAAAATCTTTGAAAATTTGGTTAGAAAGTATATTTCTATATCCATG